AGTATTAAACATTCCTGTCTTCTTCCAATATTTTGGCTGAACTAGACTCTTTCGAAGCGTGAGCTAAGAATCATGCCAATCATAATAATCAGCAGCTCTCATCATAGGAATTGTAACTGTGGATCTCATGGAAATTAATTGATGCAAGGATGTCCAATGAAGTACTCAATTACAACTCCACTGGATGAATATGCATGAGCTGGGGGGGGTGTCTGATAAAATGATGTCATCCATATGGAGCAAAGTCAGCTAACCCCGCAAGCGAGCACTGAGAGCTGGTACGCTCAGCCAAGCACAAGATGAAAATGCATCTCGGGGACACCTCCTTGCTTCTGCGTGGGCATTTTCTGTGGGACAGGATGGGGAAGGAGCCTCTTCCAGCTGCAGATTTGTACCCCGCATCTCCTTTTGGGTGGTGAAATGAGGCAGCAGTCCCACTGTCTGCTTTCTACCTACCTCCATGAAGTGTTGGTCATCCATTCGCTCTCCAACTGGCTCCAGATGCCAAGTCCCTTTCCGCACCAGGCAGTGTTAGGAGTGTTCTCTCTTCCTCCCCCGTACACAAAGCCCTACTGTTTCCGTGGAAATCCTGAGAGCAGAAGGAAATCGGGGAGCCAACTAGCTGCAGACCGACTAGGTAAAGCATAAGCTTGAGTGATGCAAGGTGGACTTCCAGGTAGGAGGATGTCTTGACTTAGAAGAGACGCAGGCACATCCCCTGCAGGTTTGCTCAGTAGTATGAACTACCAATTGAGCAGTATGAACTGCAACTGAATACATCACACCAAAAACTAAGAGCAAATCAACACATCTGCACATTTTTCTGGGGGTGAAAAATAATGATGGTGAACCATTGACCGCTGCTGCTTGGGCCATCACTCAAGCGGCTGACCCCGCCAGGCAAGAGTTAAGAGCATGAAACCCGGGGGGGCGGGGGGTCCTAGTCTCCCAAGTGGCTCGCTGGCTGATCCCTGCAACCCACCCAGGGTCTGCACACCAACACAACCCACCACCCATCAGACAACCCCTAGAATAAGCCATGGATTCACAGGGCGTTTGGGTGCCAAAAGAGATGCCGCCCTCCAAGAAGCGGTCTGGTTTGAACCAACAAGCAACAATGCACCATGACAACCCACAGTGGTTGTCAAGCTGTTTTACATGAAATTTTTTATTCGACCTGATCTACTTTCTTAGCATAAATGCTGGAATTTGGTTTGTTAGCGAGCTGCAATCCTTTCTTCCAGTTTAACCACAGAGAACTTCAGCTACAGAGTGGTATAAAAATGGAATGGATAAAAATAAGTAGCTACTGGTCTAAAACAAACAACACCATAACCTCCTTCCCATCTTTTCTTCACCTCATGCCAACTTCCTTCTCTGTATCCCCCGCCTGGCTACCTCTCTGCACACCTATGCAACCACAAAACATGTATGCACCTTCAGCAAGGTGAGTCTCCCTCCACCCCCCACCTCTTAGAAATTTCTTAGGAAAATATGCCTATTATTTCCGTAGCTGGGAATCTGATATAATACCCAACCCCCCTGATTTTCAGTAGTCACATCCGTTAGCTTTGTGCTATTTACCTGCACAGATAAGTCTGCTTCCTGTGCTTTGTCCTAACAATTAATATAGGAAACAAAGGAATAAAGGCCATGAGTCAAATTAAATAATTTGCTTCATTACGTAACTGTAAATGAATTTGCTTTGGGAATAGACTTCGCGTTAATGCTGTGGCAATTAAGCGAAGAAACAGTGACCCCCAATGGCCATTGCGGGTCTCTGCAGCCCATGAGTGAAGACCCTTAGCAAGAACACATCCTCTTCAGAGGTGCCTTAAACCAGGGGCAAGGGAGCTGCTGCCATCCAGTTTTTTGGATTACAGCTCTCATACGCCTTGACAATTGGCTAAGGGTTGATCAGAGCATAGCCCAAAGTTTCTCGAGGGCTCCAGCTTCCCCACCCTCACTTTACATTGCAATTTGAAGCCATCGACGCAAATAACCGTCGCCCATGTAATTCACTCATGTGAGCGAAGCCTTTTTAGTATAAGCTTCTGCTTGAGGGGGTAAATGTGAAAACCGAACAATGCAAAACCAGTGCAAATTACTTGACCAGAGGAATATTCCGTCCTGTTGCTCTCCAATTTAACTTAAACTGTCCTAGGCTGCAAAGCAGAGGAAACGAAGGACAAGATCTTACATGGCGCCCCAAACGGCAACCACAGAATGTTGCTGACCTCCACTGGCTGACTGGAGGGCTACAGAATTACGAAATGCCACACACATTGCGCTGCGACCGCCGGTTTGGCGATTACGACATAGCTAATGATACCCTTTCCTCCAAATAATTTCATCAGTTGCAACACAATTTGTTCCCTTTGACGATATAGTTTAATCCTCAAATCAAGAAGCCCACGTCCCCGCTTAAACATGCCGCCATCACCCCTGGAAAAATCTTGCGAGAAAATGATTCTAAGCGGAGGCACAACAGGGTAATATTTGCCGGAGGAGAGGAAGCTTTGGCATGCACCTCCAAACAAAAGGGAACAAGTGGCCTTCAATCAGAGCGCAGCTTCCTATTAAGACTCACTCCTTCGTACATTACGCCTTTCATTCCCACTCAACCACAAAATGATTTTGCTGTAGCACACACAATAGTGAAAAAAGATTTACATTGAAAGAATCTTTAATAATAAACTGTTGCAGGTCTGCCTACTTCCCCCTTGATTTATAATACAATAAACATTGGATTCTATTAAGTCTCATGCACTGAAGTTGCACTGGCAAAAAAAAAAAGAATATGAAAGCACTCGATTCTTCCCATCTCCAGTGCCATAATAGTGAAATGAGCATGGATAAATGTGCTAAGAGTATCTCTTTGCATCTTTTATAGTTTGTGTGTATTAATCTGTAAAGCTTATTAAGAAAGTCATTGCTATGCAAAGCAGGACCCAATCTCTTTCTCTAGCTTTTCAACAGAGTGCAGTGTTCAGCCAATGGGGACGCGTCCACTGCCCCTCATTCTGCATTCATAACATGCAACATTTGCACAATGTATCTCTCAAAGACTGCTGAATAGAAAGCCTTAATACTCGTGTAAACAACTGCAAACCAATTACTTAATGAATCAGGCCCACGCATAATGAGGTGCCCAGACAAAGAGCTATAAATGCATTTTTGCGCCCAAGCCTCTGCTTTAAAGTAAAATCCCTCAGCTGTAGTTTGGGCTTAACTAGCACATCGTAATTATTGTCTGTAGGAAGCCATTTTTTTATTTAGGTCCATCAGAGTATTTTTCGAGGTCACTCATCAGCTCAGTGACTAAACAGTGCGAAGCAGGAAAAAATTAAAAGTACCACAGTGGTACTAGACGGTTATGTTTATTTTCAAGTGCTGGGTTTCAAGTCCACTTGTAAAAGCAATAAAGCGCAAGAAGCGACAGTAAGTGGAATCCCTCAGACATCAGCCTGCAAGAAATTTCACTGTGTCCCAACTGCAAATAAGCACCTCGCTCATTTCCAATTCCTTCCTATTTTACCTGGCTCCGTCGTGTTTGTAAACATCTTTCTAAGGTAGATGTCAAGTGCAAAGCAGCAAGTGTTACAAAGCAATTCGGTTTAAACAGCCAGATTATTCCCCAGTTACTGAGGAAACTTAAATGCACACCATTCTCTTAAAAATAGCGAATAATTCCTATTTTCTCCTGAGACTAAGGACACAAAATGCCATGCTGCAGTAGGTGCTCCCCAAAATGCATATGGCATTTTAGAAGTCGCAGGATTTGCACTGTAGGAGAATTGCTAAAATGGCTGTTTCGTATTATGATGCAAACTACACTCCTCAAATATTCCTTTTTCAAAATATCTGTGTCCTTTTTATACACAAAGTAATGGATAAAGGGCTGTTCTGAATTTGTGGGTACTAGACAGTATTGCTTTTCCAGATTCTCATTCTTTGTAAAAATATTTTTGAAAAGGAGATTTTAACTACAAATGTTAAAAAATATTTCAAACCCACCTCCTGAAACATAGATATAAATTATACCACACTGCAGAAATGCATAAATATATTATTAATATTAGTATTAGCATTAATAAAATATTATATTAGCCAGTTAGCTTTGTTCCAAGTCCTACTCAAAAATCAGTTGTCAAAAATCAGATGTTTTAAAAATCTTAAAATATAAAACATACCATCCAGAACATGAAAAATTTTATGACACATGAAAGACACTAGAACTGTGCGAACAAGGAATGTATCAGACATCATAAATGAGAATTTCTAAGAAGCAGCAATGCAAGTGGAACCAAGCTATGAAAATGCATTAACAATTATTATGTAACAATCTGAAGCCAATCTAAAATTCCTCGATTGTTTACTATGCTTCATTTGCTATTACCGCTTGATTGCTAGTAATTTGATTCATGCTGCTAGCAGGGGGAAAAAAATAGTGTAACAAAACATTACTCAAAGAACTGAAAGAAGATAAATGGCAGCTCTTTAGGAAAAAGCGAGGACATTAATTAAATGCTCTCAATTTGAAAATACAAAAGTAGTAACAAATAATCTAGTATCAAATACTTCTTTTAGAGGATACAGAAATAGGTATTGAGTGAAGCTTATTTACATCTCAACTACGTCCAGAAGATAACACACCACTTTATTTCTTCAAGACTTTATGTTTTACGCCTGCCCTTTTCTTGACAACTTCCATTGTGTGGTCTCTAAGTAGTCCTACTGAGAGCAGCTGTACACGCTAATTTGAGGTTCACTGGGATGTCAATTGAATCTCAAAATGAGAAAACAACAGCTGCAAAACAATACCTGCCTTTAGTGCAAATATTTTTTAAGGTGTACAAAATTCTGACTTGCGTTGGAGAAACACAAAATTGAACTATAACCCTCACGTCCAAATATTGTTGCCAGAGCCCCATTAACTTTCCATAGGCATTTTCACTCGGCTGGAACTATTCAGAAATAAAATGCTTTAATGACTTTACCTTGACAAAGGGCTGCTTCTTTCCAGAGATGAAAAACTAGGTTCTGAACTGCTTGTGTAGCTTTTCTGTTCCTTCAGACCACTGCTGTCAATATTCAAACCTATAAGCAGGATAAACCCCAAACACATTAATTTATTAATCGGCCAAATCAAATTGAGAGCAATCACACAGTAAGCTCTGAGCGAAAGAGGCCAGTAATACAAGAGACTGTATCGAGAGCAGTTTAAAACATAACTCATATTATATATTTTGAATAAACAGAGTACAATCACCCTATAAACCAGTCTACTACTAAAAATATTTTGACTATCCAGTGAGACTCTCACAGGATAGCAGGATAGCAGCTTGCAGAAAGGAAGGGTGAAGTTTTGGGAGAACTCTGGCAATCTTTTATCTTTCCATGATAGATTTTAAAAATCCTCATCAGTTCAGTTCCAAAAACACAACATAGGACATTCCTGGTTTTGATACCCAGCTAACTACTGATAGAAACCTGCTGGAATGGTGATAAAAACACCTGGCAAACCATGCTGTTCGGGCAGTTTCTTCGGTATATTTTGCTTTCTGCCCCTCGCTATGGTACGGCAGTGCTCGCTCTGGTGTATTCAATGGATGACCATTGTCGGCAATTCCTGGGCCTCATCCAGACTTCCCCTGCACTTCTGTGATTTGCGCCGGCCGTCTAGCAGGCACGGTCTCTTCAGATATACTTCCAGATGGCAAAAAAGGGCTTAACTCTGGGGTGACGGGCTGCCGCAACGAACTTTTCACGTTTGAAATGGATTGAGACACCCTTTCCTAATGATGGGTGCTTGCAGAAACACCGGTAGCAACCCTCTTACTAGGGGCAGAAATCACCTCGCTCTGGTGTGGGGACACCCCTCGGTGGCAGAGGGAGGCGTTCATGGCAGAGACAGCAGGGGGGTGGGAAAGGGTTCAAGGCCAAACCCTTGGAGAATCACAGCCAGGGCAACCAGCGCCATGCTAAATTGGGATAAAGCGGCTTCATGTGTTTTCCGCCATAGTCACCCCGCCTTTTCCCAAGTCTTAACAGAACCAAACTTTGGAAGGGCCAGCTGGGGGAGATATATCAGATATTCCAGATGGCTACCCTCTTCCAACAGGCCTTCCCAAATTAGTTTTATTTAATATGCTTGTTTTTAGTCTAAATCCAAATGGCTGTTGCTCTTGTAAACGGCCCAGAAACAATGGGAATGGGGTGGTTTATCAAAATGAAAATTAAAATTAAAAAATCATCAACAATTTTCAAAAATCTTCAAAAATCATCAGAACCGAAAACCATCAGAAACCAGAAACCAAAACCCAGAAACCAAAAAAATAAAAAAGTGCAATTTAAGGCTGCCATCCTTAATGCATCAGTAATAAAGCCCCATCAAATAAAGTGGAACTTTCTTCTGAGAAAAGATATACGGGATTGTGCAGCAGGAAAAAGAAGGAAAGCAAGAAAACAGTGCACCCAAATGAAATGCGTTGAATGTGCTTTTGGTGAGCTACCTGTGCGAGGGGACAGCCACACCACACACCAGTTTAGTCTTCCAGACAGTCATCAAGCAACCCTAAATATGGCACAGCTGAATGGTGCAGTGTTGGGAGCTGGAAATGGGGCAGCCCACGGAGATACATGAGCTAGCGAAGTTTGTTCATTTATTTATTTTTCGATTTATATCCTGCCTTTTTCCTACAAAGGGCTCAAGGCAGCTTACATCATTTTCCTCCATCTTATCCCCACAACAACCACCCTGTGAGGTCGGTTGGGCTGAGAGTCTGTGACTGGCGCAAAGTCACCTGGTTGGCTCCATGGCCAAGCAGGGACTAGAACCCGGATCGTCTGAGTCCCAGTCCCATGCTCTTCACCACCGCACCACACGGGCTCTCCTGAAGTTCAGGATAAGATGCAACAACACGCTTGCCTAACTGCCATTCATGTGAATGGACCTGAAAGCAGAACTTCCTGGTTACACCTTTTCAGGTTATTCCTGCAGAGACTGCCTCCCTAAATCTCATTAGTGGAGTCAAAGCCCATCTTGACCTTTGCAGGGAGGTGGGGCTGCCCCTCGATGCCTTCTGTTACCTCTCCAGATGGACATGACTCTGAAATGGTGACAAGTGGAACCCAGAGGGTGGGACCCGAAACACAGCAATGCCCGCCTGTAGTAGCTTGGCAAACAGAAGTCCTGCCTGAGACTTCTCTAGGGCTTCAGCTCCATGTAATTACAATCACAGAAGGAAATCCCACAAAGGAGAGTTTCTATTCCCTCTATTCCATTTCAGTACTGCCCGACAGTGGAAACTCACTGGGCAGAAACAATTCATAACATGTAGCAAGACAGCATAACATTTCAGTGCCAAACGGAGACCGTTGTCAAAAGGAACTCCGCAATGGCAACTGGGTTAGGCCTCTTTTGCCCAAAGCAAAGCCTTCCCAACGGCAGCCCCTGCCTTGCTTCCAAAGTTTTCAGGGTTGGGGAGGAATGGAAAGGTTCACCCAGATGGGGCAGCATCTCTCCCCCAAAGCGAAGCTTCCTGCAGGGCAGAGCCAGCGAGCTCTTTGTACTCGCCCCTGCAAGTTGCAAGCTCTAATGCTGTCGTTATTTGTTCCTTGGAGCACATCCTCTCACGGTGCCTGCAAATGTCTGCCGGTGCCTGCAAATGTCTGCCGATGCTGCCTAGCATTTCACCTGTGGGAAATTTGACACGGATGGAAATCCTGACTTGGATTCAACAAGTAGGAGTTTTGCTTTCTTTCCTATCTAGTCATCTCACTATTCAACCGAGACCATAATTCTTTTGTAGCTGCCAATGGAGGTTGGAGATAATTGAAGGGCACGGCTAGTTAAATGCCCTTGTTTATTTAATCACCTCTTTGCAAATGGGTGTAAATCTCCCCCAAACCCCTTTTCTGAACAAAAGAGACCCAGATGGGAACTAAAGGGGGGGGGGGCATGAGTAAATCCTCTCCAAAAATCCTTCTCAGCAAAAGGCACCTCTCCTGACAGCTTGCCAAGTTGTCAAGAGGAACCCAAGGTAGGGGGAATGAATTTGGAGTCCTGGCAGGGGGAGCGTCCAGGTGGCTGCGGGCTGCAAGGGAACGGCGCTGGACGTCTCCCCAACAAGGCTTGAACCCCCTGTGAAAGATTGCAGTTGTGCCTTTCAGGTTATTCTGGAACGGTTCTTTTAAAAACTGCAGGCTACATTACGCACATTTTAAGAAGAACGCTAGGCTACGGCGGCTGGCGGCTGTCAGGAGGATTCGACAGCAGGCTCTGGTGATCCCTTACCTCCCAAAAATTATTGAACTGTGGGGTGGGTGGGGGAGGCAGCAAATCTGAAATGCTCACAGTGGGGAGGGAAGCCTATGCAGATTGTCTCCAGGGGATGCTTGCGCTTTTTGTGGGGCAAGGACCAATACGTTGCCACGCGCTGGCAGATTCCTCATGCCCAAGACGCGGTTGATCACCCAGGAAAAGCACAGACTGAAGAGATGGGAAAGGGCAGAGTACCAGGCTCACTGTCACGCCATTCCATGTTAACCACTTCACTCCATTTATTTATTTTTTACTCCACCCAGTAGCCAAAGCTCCCATTTTAACCAACCACATGCAAATGCTGCCAAGTTATAGGTTCATTCATCCACTCTAAGTCTCCCATGTTTTCCCACTGCTGCTTCCACCTTTTTCCCAGACCATGACAAATCCACGGAGAGGATGACTGGCGACATGTGCTTTCTGAGAGTTAATGTGGATACTCCTTCCTCTGACAGCACCTGTCTTGCCGAGGCTTTTAGTTTTTAGATCCCCTGTTTTTAGATTTTAATTGTTATTTGTGTATTGCTTCTTGGATGCTTGTTTCAAGTACAGAATCAGAAAGCAAGCAAACAAAATGACAGGAGTAGGTGAAAGACAATGGCAAAAGTAAATCGTTTATTTATGACATTGTCTTCTAAAAGCTTCTTTTGATTCTTAATTATGTACTGGCCCCTGAGATCAGGCACCAACTGGTTCCCCTTTGCAAAGCCTAGGCGTCTTCCAGCCACAGGATACCCAAAGAAAGTGCTAGCCTTAGTCTGAACATTGAATTCATCTACAGGAACCAGCATGCAAAACGTGGCCAAAACTGAAGCAGCAACCTTTCGGCAAACAGCAAACCTCCTTCCTTTCCTGGAACCCTGCCATGTCCACCTCAAAATCTACTTGTCACATGGAAAGATATGTACATTCCACTCCGAAATGGGAAAACCTGAATTTCGGACACTAGATGGTGCTGCAGCTGAAGTGGATGCAAGCTCCTTGACTTCGTAAAATGATATAAAGGACACATGGAAAGGCTCTCCCTTAAAATTCCTGCTTCGCTACCAGAAACATGGCACCCAATTCCGGTTACTACCCCAAAACCTTGAAGGTCTTCCATAATGCTACAGACTTTGACCAAATATCCTGCAAGCAGGACAAATCTTGGGGCAGTTTAAGACAAACTAACTCAATTTTAAAGCTCTCCACACTGCAAGGAGCAGCACTTACACTCAACACGTTTGATCAAGCACTGACTAATATTCCCTTGCTCTCAGCGTTAACCATCTCCCAGCTCTGTATTCCTAATCAAGGGCTGATCTGAACTGAGATTTTGCCAATGAGGATGCATTTAAAAATGAAAAAAAAATCCACTCTATTGGGATCATCCTAACCATACTGATTTTAAATAGGGAAGGAGGGGAGGGGAGGGGAGGGGCCATCCCTGTAAATGCAATAGAAATAGCAAGCTTACATTGTAAGAAAGCTCAAGCCCCCTTACTGGAAAATAATCAAATGGAATATGACACCCATGGTACATATGTTTTCTTTTTAAAATTATATATTAAGATTTTATGCCACCTTGCTAGCTAACTGGGCTTGAAGGCAGCATGTGACCCAGAGAGCATAAACTATGGAGTGTTATTGAAATGAGATTAATACATATATAAAATACACCATGAGAGCTAAGTTGAAGAGATGTGTCTTCACACACTTTCTAAAATCCAGGCACATGGGGGAAGCAATCCTATTTGCTGAGGAGGTATGTTTTGCAGTTATGGGAGCAGCACTG